GAGTGGCGGGCAGAGCATGCCAAGCGGTTCGTGTGCCAGGAGCGCTGGTGAGCATGCCTGGAGGAACCCCCCTCTCCCCCCACCGCTCCCCGGGCTGGAGTGATCGCCTCTTTAAAAGACACCAGGGCCTGTGTGGCTGGGGAGGGGGCTGGGGCTGAGGGGCTTTCCTGACAGCATGGTGCCTGTCACCAATTAGCTTCTACTCTTCCACTGGGCCTTCTTTTCCTCTCTCCCTCCCGCCCACTGCCAGGCAGCATGCACTGCCCGGGCGCGGTGACAAATGCCAGAGTGGGCCTGTGGCTCACACGCTCAGACCTTAAATCCCCCGGGCTCTGGGCTGGTTTCTGGGTGATGGGGTCACTGTGAGTGGTCAGGAAGAGAAGCAGCATTTCTTTCTTTCCTTCCTTCCTTCCTTCCTTCCTTCCTTCCTTCCTTCCTTCCTTCCTTCCTTCTTTTTCCCTCACCCGAGGATATAGTCACTGGTGTTTAGAGAGGGAGCGGGGAGGGGAGATATATATTGAGATCGGCCATCTCCTATAAGCTCCCTGATGAGGATCAAACCCACGACCTAGGTACGTGTCCTGACCGGGAATTGAACCTGAGACATTTTGGTGAATGGGACGATACTCCAACCAACTGAGCCATGACAGCCAGGGTGAGAAGCAGCATTTCTTGAGTGCCTACTATGCGCCGGCTCACGTCATCTATCCAACAAACCCCACCAGTGGGTACTGTTAGGTCCTTATTATCGATGGGAAATCAAAGCTCAGAAAGGTTATGAAACAAGACAAAGTCATGCAGACCTCAGCAGCTGGGAGGAGAGCCCAGGCCTGCTCGGCCCTGGAGCCAGGACCCTCTCCAGCATGCCACGCTGCTGGGAGGTCCTCTTCCATCTGCACTTCGGCAGCACAACCTCTAGGGTGATTCCTAACAAAGCACTCCCCGTTTTCAGAGCTGGCCCAGCACACACAACTTGGAAGTTCAAGAACGTGGTATCCTCCCCCTCTCTCCCGCTTGGCAGCAGCGTTCTACCTCGCCCCTGCTCTTGTATTGGTTATTTATACTAGGGCACACATTCGGGGCACCAACGACCATGGGGCAGGGTTTGGGGAGTCCCAGGTAGGCCCCAAAATACTGCCATCAGCCCCTAAGGATGACCTCACCAGACACCTACCCTAGCTCAAAGGAAAACAAACAAACCACACAGCAAGCGCAGACCTATGGGAAACAAGCCCGTGTGCACACCGCTGGGGGCACTTTCAAGGAATGACAGGCCTCTGGAGGGAAACCCGGGGGTTAGAAACAGGAACCAAAGCACACTGACAGCCTATGATTGGGCGATTTGGTTATTTTAGTCTGGGAAACAGACCTCCAGGAAATATCACTAGCCCTGTTCCCCGCCGCCCCCCACCCCCCAACAAAAGTTCAAAGGTATTTTCAGCAGCACTGTTTACAATGGTAAAACACACCAAATTCAACCCAAATGAATGTAAATAAAATGACTGAAAAATGACAGGAATGAGGGCTATCTCAAATTTAAGGGAATGTCCAGGGCAGGTGTCTTGTTCAGTCTTTTGTCCCTGGCATTGAGTCCGGGGTCTCACTGTGCCCACTGCCGAAGAAGTGAGTGTGGTGAGGACTGATGACACATGGACGGTGGCCAACTCTCAGTAGACACTTCCTGCAGGCTCCCCGGATATGGGAAAGTCCAAATCCACGAGAAAACTAAGAATGTCACAAACATCACTACTCTCTAAAAACATAAAACACTGAAGACACATATATTATATATCTACCGATATATAATGTATTTAGATTTAAAAAAAAAAAAGGGGGGGGGAAGCCTACAGGATGAATGGCTTAATAGGCTTTGTTTTTGGGAAAGCTTTTTAAGTCCGCACAATAAGAAGATTTCAAACACACAAACAAACAAACAAACAAACAATAAAAACACTAACATATGCTTACCAGTGTTTCCCAAAGTGTGATATGCTGACCCGCAGGGGTACGGGAAGAGTTTGGTGGGGGTACGCGTGGCACCGGAGTTTGGTGGGGATAGGCACTGCACTGTGCTTAGCTGCATCTAATGCTACGTTCTCATGAGTATGAGGGGTACTCATGATAGAAGGGGTACACATATGTCAAAAGTTTGGGAAACACTGGCTTAACCAGGGGGTCCAAGGGGAGGAAACAAGTGCATGTACAAAGGTAAGAGGGAGAGAAAACACGGGTGGAAGTCAAATCTCATTCATTCACTCATTTCGTCGGCACTGACCACGCGCCAGGCACTGAGCTATCCCGTGGTGACAAGATAGTCACTGTCATTGCGGAGGGTCCCCCCAGAGCGGGGAGATGCTCCCCAGGTTCCGGGCTGGCCACCCGGAGTGGTGGAGAACGGGCAGGAGGCACGTCGCTGCCCAAGGACCTGAGGCCAGGGCACAGCCCTCCTGGTCTGTGGGACTCCTCGGTCCTGTTACCGTGAGGCCTCTGTGGCCCCCGCTGCTCCCACGTGTCTGGAGCCACATGGAGCGGAGGGGCTGACAAGGAGTTCCACCGGATGGGACTTCTCCGCCGGCTTCCCACCCATCCCCACCGCCCAGCACACCCAAGTCGCACGCCATTCAAACGTAGGAGCCGACACATAAGCTCCTCCCCTGACACATGAAGACGCCCATTAAAACGACTCTCCCCACCCTGGGAGAAAAGCCGTGGCTTCCAGTGTCAGGACGAGCTGCTGAATTCTACCTGAAGATGGCACAGCTGAGATCACCCTGGCCCCCCGGGGCACCCAAGGGACAGGTGTGGCAGCCACTGAAGTTTCTCGAAGCCGGAGGCACCGTCTGAGGGGTCTTGGGGGAGAAGATAGACGGACTCTTCCCAATGCTGTCGTGTGGCCAGCATCATCAGCGGCCTTCACCCAGGGGCCTGGGTGAAGCACATCACCGAGCCCTGTCCCTGGCACAGACTCGCCCTGCCACACCTCCAGGAAGGGAGGGCGGGCCCTGCTGCACAGGCAGAGGAAGCACCCAGGCCTCACGTGCCCCTCGGGGGCGCCACCTGGTTCAGCAGAGTGCTCCTCACCCCTGGCACCGCGGGGCCGAGGGCCCCAAATCCGTATATATATATATATTTTTTTTTAAAGGTCCTGAGGGGATTCTCATGCTCTGCACCAGCCTTGCGAGTCACTGGCAATAGGGACCAAACACTTCTGTCTCTGGAATCAGAGACACCTGGGCTCCAATCCCAGCGTTGTCACTCCTTAGCTCTGTGACTTGGGCAAATGACTTAACCCCCTGAGCCCCAGTTTCCTTATCTACCCAAATGGCAACAATAATGCGAGGTTGCTCGTGGGACGGTGCCCGGACAGCACACGGAGGGCCCCGTCTCCGCGCACAGCACCTGTGGCCGTTGGTGTCCTGGGCCAGGCCCTGGCTCCTGAATCCTCCTCGAGAGCCCCCCTCGCTCAGCCTCGTATCCTGGCCTTTGGCCCAGGGCCTCGCTCCTATGGACACTCACCAATGTTCACTACTGAAGAGGTGGATGTCGTGAGGATTGATGACCCATGGACGGTGGCTACCCAGTGCCAACTCACAGAAGCTCCCGGGACACGTGAAAATGTACATTAAAACACAAGCTGTCGCTGTCCCAAGTGGGCGGTTCTCGGCCTGCTCCCTCCCCTGCAGGTAAACCAGCCCATTTACAGGATTCCTCCTGGAGCACCCTGTCCAGGGAACACAGTCCGAGCGAGGAGAGGCCACCAGGCACCGGCCTCCGGGTTCCAGAGGGAGGAACGCTGATCTCCCGCAAGGGAAGGAGCAAAACCTCAACTCACGGACCAGCTCGCGGCGCCCCCCAGAACCGCTCCCCCCACAGGCGGGCGGCCGTGGCCCCACAGCAGCCACTAATAACGGAACCACTGCTGCTCTCCTTGGAGTGGCAGTTGGCAGTGGCAAACAGGAAGTTGTCTAGAAACAGGGTGTGGCTGTGCCCTGTCAATATATGCCAGCAGAGACACACTTCCCCTCTCCCCTAGCCCTTCTCTCGCCTCCTCCTGCTGCCCTCTGCCCTCTTCTTTGGGAGCAAAAGGTCTGAATTATTTGGGGGAAAACAAAGCTTTTTCTTTTTTTTTTTGAACACGAGTTAAGAGCAACCATCAGCACCATGCAAACAAAAAATCTAGGGCAGAAAGGAGTGTAAAACATAGCAGGGGTCTGTTTTCCTACCCAGTCCCTCACGGTGGCACTGGGTCGGTAACTGGCTGCATGGGTGTGCATGAGTGAGCGTAAGCTTTCCCCTGAACTTCTCCGTGAGCACACAGGAAACGGAACCCCAGCCAGAGGCCAGGCCAGGTACGCTCGCTGCCAGTCGCCCTGCTGAGCCAACCAGTCCGCCCGCGGGCCGGCCACCATGGCTTACCCAGGGCCCACAGTGTGCACACGCCCGACTCAGCACCATCCAAGAATAGGACCGAAGGAACAACACAGGCCACTAGTTTCACGCAATTTTGAAGTTTGAGTTCAAAGAGACCCGCCACATTTCCTGACGCCCACCACATATGCACATGACAGGAGACAAGCCACTGCCAGAGACATCGATGCCTATCGCTGGAGCTGCGGGTAAAGGCAGAGACGTGGGGGTGACACGTTGGGGAGGCTCACTCCCGCCGGCCTCCCGGTGCTGGGACAGGTGTGCTAGAAAATTTTCCACTCCGTTCCTGCCCAGGCCCCGAGGCATGTGCCTCCAGAAGGGCTGTCCAAAATAGACTGGTCCCCAGCCCAGCCTCCTGCTCCTGACCTCTTTCCGAGGCAGCAAACCTCCCCACTGCACGCCTCGCCAGCCCACGGCCCGGAGCACCGGCTCTGCGGACGCTCAGGCTCGCTGGCAGGGTCCCAGGCTGACAGCACGCTCTCACCGCCTGCCTGCCAGGCTCCCTGTCCGGTGACCTGGGCCCAGCCCCGCACACGTCCTCGGTGGCCAACGTGCCCTGTGCTCACACTTACACATCCCGGGGAGGCAGCCTGGCCGCTAGGATAAGGAGGCTGAGCCCGTGGGACACGCCGGGCGGGCAATGCGACTTGTGGGAGACGTTTCCTGGCTTCTGGCGGAGGGCCCTGGCCAGTCAGAACGCACCACTTCCCCTTTAAGAGAGCACGCCCAGATGCGATCAGGGAAAGGCAGAAAGAAAAGCCCGGAACAGTCAGGGTTGTATCCTGAATTTGGCAGGCGAACTTGGGGCTTCCTGAGCGGCACACACAAGGTGTGGCCAGAGGCAGCGGGCTCCTCCGAGGCAGGCGGACGGCTGATCTGAGCAGTCCCTGCCGGGGAAGGGCCGGGCCTGCCGACAGCCCCACAGGGCGAGGGCCACGTGCGAGCTGCGGGCCCAGCTCCTGGAGCTGCCGCCGTCCCCCCTGGTGCCCTGCAGCCTGCGGAGCCTCAGGCCCCCCCCCCCCCCCCCCCCCCCCCGCTGCTGATCCCGATGAGCAGAGTCCCCAGCAATGCCTTGCACTCTGCTTTGGAGAGAGAGCAGGGACACCATTATCAAGATGGAAACATACTTTTGTGGGACATTTAAGCTATTAATTCACGCAGGGAGTTTTCATTTTTTTTTTTTTTTTGTGTGAGGCATTAGAACTATTAATTTATGCAGGGAATTTTCATTCATTCTGGATATTTCAAAAGCTGATGCCCTGATCCTGGCAAAGGACAGTAGATTGCAAGAGGAGTGGGGAGGGGGGGTGGGGTGTTTCAAAACAACAACAGTTCACAAAGGGTCACATGTTGTACAATTCCATTGACGTGAAATATCCAGAAAGCAGAGTCGTGAGTGCCAGGGGCTGGGGAAGAAGGGTGTGGGGAGGAACTGCTTACTTGGTTATAAGGTCTCTTCCGGGGGTGATGAAAAAAAAATTTTTTTTTTTTACATTTTTTACATATTTTATTTATTGTTTTAATTTAATTTTTTCCATTTTTTGTTTATTAAGGTATTATATGTGTACATATCTTACCATTGTCCCCCTTCCCCACTCCCATACATGCCCTCACCCCCCAGGGTTGTGCGTCCATTGGTCATGCTTATATGCATGCAGACAAGTCCTTCGGTTGGTCTCTTATATCCTCCACCTCTCTCTAACGAAAATGTTGTTGAACTATGTAGAGGTGATGGTTGCACAACATTATGAATGGACTCAGTGCCACTGAACTGCATGCTTTAAAATGATTAATTTTGTTATGTAAATTTCAACTCATTAAAAACAACAACACCCTAGTGGTAGAGTGTGTTTTGGGCAATTTTATCTTCTACTAGGATCTCTCCTGTGCTTCATCCAATATTTCTTTATAAAATCTGGCTATTACCTGATAAATCTTTTTAAAAAAAAATATATTCTATTGATTTTTTTACAGAGAGGAAGGGAGAGGGATAGAGAGCCTGAAACGTCGATGAGAGAGAAACATCGACCAGATGCCTCCTGCACACCTCCCACTGGGGATGTGCCCGCAACCAATGTACATGCCCTTGACCGGAACTGAACCTGGGACCCTTCAGTCCGCAGACCAACACTCCATCCCCGCTGAGCCAAACCAGTTTCGGCCTGATAAATCTTTAGTTGATCCTGGCTAAGGAGTATATGCCTTTTGTTTGTTTGTTTGTTTGTTTTGTTTTGTTAATCCTCACCTGAGGATATTTTTTTCATTGATTTTTTTTTTTTAGCGAGTGAAAAGGAGTGTGTGTGTGTGTGTGTGTGTGTAGAGCATCGATGTGAGAGAGACAAATGGATTGGTTGCCTCCTGCATGCACCTTGACTAATATCAGGGTTCAACACTACAACCCAGATTCGTGCCCTTGCCCGGGAATGGAACCTGTGACCCTTCGGTGTGCGGGGTGGGGGTGGGGGTAAGGGGTAGGGGTGGGTGGGGCGCTTCTCTAACCACTGAGCATACTGGCCAGGGCTGAGGATATGCCTTTTAATAAGGAAAAATAAAAACAAACTGTTAAGAGATAAAAGTTTCCAAGACCCACAAGTATGGCTTTTTTAAGGGGCATTTCTTACTTTGGGGAGAGGTGGCATCATTTCGAAGCATGCCACACCAGCCAGGCAGTGCCCAAGTCTCGTGGTGAGGCAAGCTCAGGTTGGAACCATCCTGTCAGCAGCTGGACGTGGTAACCAAAGCAGAGGGAGGGAGTCTCTCAGGGGAGACTTACCCAGGAGACCATGACATTGAGCCTCTAAGAGTCTAGATTCTTGGCTCCCTCTTCCCCTCTTGTAGAACGTTTTTTTTTTTTTTTTTCTCTCTCCTCCCCCTCCCCCCCCCAATGAAGAATTCATCAGTTTTTGGTTGATTTAGAGGGGACTGTGCTGGTTGGCACCGCAGAACTGGTTTGCACAATTCCATTTCTTTGGAATGGAGTGAGTGAGAACGACGCCGGAGTGACCTGATCCCCCACCTGACCCAGCCCCACGGGAGGAGCATCCAGCCCTCCTTTCTCCGTCCTTCGCAGCTGAACCTGAGGGTGAGGCTGTGAGCCTTGTCGTCCAGACCCTAAGCCAGCAGGTCAGGAGCTCATGGGCTCACTTCCTCACCTCAGAGTCAAGAGGAGGCCTGCTGGATGTTGCAACACTTAGGAAAAAAAAACACAAAAAACAAAACACAGGTGAAAGGGCAGGCCCTGTGGCCCAGGAGCCCGTCTTTCCGGAGAAATGTAAATAGTCTTCCTAGAATCTGTCTCCTGAGTTCCTGGATGACCGGGAGGACAGAGATTTGCACAGTTGCCGTGGACCAGCTCTCGCAGAGGCCATGGGTCCTCCTGGAACACTCTGCCCTGCCTCTTCCACCCTGTTCTCTCTCTTCATCGCAGGTGCCAAGGTAACAAGTGGCCTAAGTTCTCAGCAAACAGGTGGCTTAAGCTCAAAAGACGCACTATTTACACTGCTCTAGCATCTGAAGAGCAGGAAGTTTAGAACCTTAATCCTAAATACAGAAACAGGCAGGCTCAACCCCATTTGAAAAAATGGGCAAAGGGCTTCAGCAGGTATTTCTCCAAAGAAGATGTGTACACACAGCCAACAAGCATATGAAAAGATGATCAACATTTTTAGTTACTAGGGAGATGCCAATCAAAATCACAATCAGATGCCCACTACCGTATAACTACGAGGATGGCTATATAGATAAAAACAAAACAATGAAATGGAAATTGGAACCCTTGGGCCCTGTCAGGGTTCCTCAAAATATTAAACATAGAATTACCAGATGATCCAACAATTCTATAAGATATACACCCCAAAGAATGGAAAACTGGTACTCAAACAAATCCTTGTATATGAAGGTTCATCAAAGCACCATTCGCAATAGTTAAAAGACAGAAACAACCCAAATGCCCATCCATGGGTCAATGGATAAACAAATGGTGGTATACACACACACTGGAGTACTTATTCAGCCATAAAAAGAAATGCAGCGCTAATACGTGCTACCAGCGGAAGAGTCTGGAAAACACTAGGCAAACGAAAGAAGCCAGAAAAAGGTCACCCATTGCATTAATTACCCAGATGATTGTCCAGAACAGGTAAACCCATTGAGACTGGAAGCAGATTGGTGGCTGCCGAGGACTGGGGGAAGACAGAGGGGGAAATAACTGCTAAATGGGTATGAAGTTTTATTTAAAGTGACGAGACGTTTGGACTAGATAGAAGTACTAGTAGGGGTTGCACTACATTGTGAGTGTGCTCAATGCCACTGAACGGTTCACTTTAAAGCGGTTAATTTTATGTTAAGTGGATTTCATCTCAATAATTAAAAAAGAAAAAAAAGAAAAAAAGAAGAAGCCCTGCAGAATACAAGGGCCAGGACAATCCACAAACAGAACCATCAGTTTCTGAAAATGACCATCAAGGCCCTTCTTGGAATCACTTAGAGGAGGTAATTTTTAAGTTAAGGTAATGAAGGTGGCCAGCAGGATAGGGTAGGCAGGGACTCCAACAGAGCAGTTCTTTTTCATTCTTTTTTTTAAATTGACTTGAGAGAGGGAGGACAGAAACACTGATTAGAATGCTCAACCTTTGGCATGTGCTCTGACCGGGCATTGAACCCGCCACCTTTTGGTGCACAGGGCAATGCTCCACCACTGAGCCACACTGGCCAGGGCAGCATAGCGATTCTTACACACGGCCAATTCAGGCTCACGGAAAAGTGTTATTTGCCGAAGTGTTATACGCTCGAGCACACGCGTGCATGCTCTCACACACACACACACACACACACACACACACACATGCACGGCAGGCTGCACTACTTATCGATACAAATGGGACCCTGAGGCACAGCTCCCCTCTGGCAGCCCTCTCATGCTTGATACAGCGGTCATTTTCACCAAAGGCATTGCCACTCCAATGACGGAACTACTCCCATCAAAGGGACCCAGGCCTTAGGCCCTAACATGGTACAGAGTAACAGATTTCCAACAGGCAAGACACCCCACAGGTAACCATGCTCTGCTAACCCCTGTCAGCCCCCTTTCCGGGGGGCTGTGGTCACTGCCGCAGCCCTGGGGCAAGCGGCCGCCCAGCCTGACTTTTCCGCTGCAGGTCCCTGACTGGACGGAGCTTTCCGAGTGCACACCAGGGGACAGTTCCTCCCTACCCAGAGCTGCCCTAGAATGCCTGCACCTGAGTCCCGCTTCTGCCCTAAGGTGTCACCCGGAGCCAGCCAGTGCCCCTTCCACAGGGCGCCTTGCCAAGTATCTGTTCCTTGAAATCTTTCTCCAGGCTAAATATCCCCAGGTGTTTTTTTTAAAACCATCCCTCACAAAATGTCATTTTCCCTATTCCTCCTGAACTCTGGGTCCTCGTTAGCACCTACGGTCCTTCCTAAGCCGGGGAACTCCGAAGCGGGCACGTTACAGATGGGGGCTGGGCAGCTCCGGGTGGTTTTGGGTATTATTCTCCTATGAATGCAGCCGAGGAGCCAGCCTGGACGTTTTATTTCCGCTAGCTGCATCACTCCTGTCTGATCTCACAGACGTTGCTGCCAAGCCGCGTCTCCCCAGGTACCCTTTAAACATGTCATCTTGTTGGCGTGAGTCCACTGTTCCAGCCTGTCGAGATCTTTTTGGACCCCCGACCCCCTTCATGTAACCACTCTCCCTCCCAAATCTACCACCTGGAAAGCTGACCAGCCTGCCACGAATGCCAATCTCCTTCCAAATCCCTATTTACAACGTGGAAGAGGACAGGGTCAAGTGTGCAACTCGACACATCCCCCAGCGTGACAGTGACTTGTGAACTGCACCCTCGAGGTGTACCTCTGCCAATCCACCTGGCAGCCCGGGCTATCACTTGACCTACAGTTCTTCATCTTACCCTTCCGGGTGAGGATCTCATGGAAAATGGACGAATGAGGCTAACAAGAGCCGCCCTCTGACAGCGGA